TAATAGGTTTCCTACAATATTCAGGGCTATGAAGTTTACTTCCTGCAAGGTCTATTGTCGGACATGGAAGGCTCACTTCAGAGAGTGTCTATGGGCTTTTGCCTAAAGGGGTCCTCCATGAGATGAAACCTTTCTTTTATGCAGTCAGGTCTGGCCTAACGTTTGTCTCTGAGCACCATCAAGGGTAAGGTTTCTGCTCTCTCCATTCTGTTTCAGAGACCGTTAGCCTCTCACTCTTTGATTAAGATCTTTGTACAGGGAATCTTGGATCTTTGTACAGGGAATCTTGGGTCTTACAGTATCAAACAACTGTTTCCGAGATGCCTAAGGCTGTCACCTTGTTTTCTGTTCACACCTTCTCTGAGTTCTACCAAGTGGACGTTTCTGCCTCGTGTTATGCCAGCTTCGGACATAGAGTCTTTAAGATGGCTGATTGCCCGTTGTTTCTTTGGGCCTGATCATAATTGTTTGTTTGATGTGTTGCCCACCCCTCAGTTGGGCTGCTTTTGGATGTCCCAATAGTTTAAGACTTCTGTGTTCTAAAATAGATGGAAAGAAAACCGCCTTTTTATTCATTTCTCCTCTATATATCCGTGAATGTGATCAGCATAAAGTAATCTTTTTTTATATGTGACATTGTTTTACAAACTGTTCTACTACTATTTATTATTGCTAATTATATATGCTCCTGGGGGCTGCATTAGTTCACATAATACCAATTCTGTTTTCCAATTTATAAACAATGTATTGAAGTTTGACCCAGACAACAATGGGGAACATTATTTATCTATATGCCAGTTGCAATTCCAAAATTCCAAGTATACTTGTACACAGAAAATGGAGTTGCACTCAATGAACAGGTGCTTTGCCTTTCTTTCTACAGGTGCAGCCAACAGTGAATAACAAAGGTGAAAACCTGCAAAGGACCATTTAGCCAGCCTAGACCTGTTTCTGTTGCCACTACGTGCCTTACACCATAAGCCTAGACTTTCATGGGGTTTCAGAAAAGCATTTAAAGACTGATAACTCTAGCACTTAAGCCATTAATGGTCGCTTAGATGAAGAACGCCCAGATAAGAGGCTACTTATTTATTATAACTGTATATATATTTACTGTGTGTGGAGAGTCATGCATTGTTATAAAGGTTAATGGTTTTAGGCCCTCCTACTTTGTATAACTACAAAAACCGTTGCTTTAGGAAAAACCCTAAGCCTTACAACATGATGTTAAGAGCACTGAAGTGCAGGAAGTTATGGAAAATAGTTACATAACAGTGTTCTTGTTAAAAAGAAATTGTCACCTTGTCCATGTAAGGTAAAGTGACGGTGTCTCTACAAAGGCCCACTCTCCTTATACTCACATTACCAGTGACTCCTTGCCACTCCTTCCTACTCTGCTATTGTGCACAAGACATGACACTTTAGGGTATGGAGGAGCATGTGACAGTGCTTGGGTCTAACAGACAATTGCTAGGCAAAAGCACGGTCACATGGCTGGAAGTGTAATGTTCTCGAGGGTCTCTGACACCAGTTATTTCAGTCTAGGCTGCAAATAAGGAAGCAACTGTGAAAGATCACTGATGAGACAACTACGGGGGAGCCTTGCAGAGACACTATCACTGTGCCCTGCATGAGCAAGGTGACAGTTTATTTAAATAAAGGCCTTTGAATTTTATTTTTATGCAGTTGTATTTACAGTTGTATATTGCACTGCAGTTATGTTTTACAATATTTCATGCAAGACAAAAAGGTTTATTCCACAAAAGACATTTCAGTTTTTATATATGTTGGCACGATAAACCGCCGAATAGCCATTTTTATTTCTTAGCCTAGAACTGCACTGCAGCTTTTTAGTAGCTCAACTATGCTACTAAGATAGCTAGCAAAAATGATTGGGGTCAATACTAATCGATTGCTTACCACGTGGAGCAAGTGTTAACGTTATGAGTTGTAATGACCAACTGCCCACAACTAGAAAATCGTGCCAGATTAACCACTACTACATAGGTTACTTGTGTAGCTAAAGCTGGCCATACACCTATAGATTGTCTGCAGATTTTCTATGGTCAGACGGTAAGGCCTTGTTCACACCAAATGCAGACCAGATCCGGTCAGGTTTCTACACACGCACGATGCGTTTTTGACGCGTTTTTTTTTCCAGGAAGCTAACAAGGTTATGAGGTAATTTCCTTTTACCTCTGACCTTTCATTAGCTGTTCCGATTATTTCCTGCTTCCTCTGACCTTGTTTCACATGTAAAATTGTTGCAACATGGATCCATGGGATGCAGGCATGCTCCTGGTGATGGTTATTATACTGCTACGCCAAAGTGCTGTAAGGAGACGTCGCTTTTGGGTGCACCCACTGATGAGAGAAAGAGATCCAAAGGGCCAGTTTGGGACTCTATATGCAGACCTTCGTGCACACCCAGACAAGTTTTTTTCAATACACCCGCATGTCGATATCTAGGTAGGAATGTTTGCATGTGATGTGTCCCTTGTGATGGAATCTATCTCACACTCTCTCTCTCTCTATCACTCTCTTTAACTCTCTATTTCTCTAGCAATCTCTCTCTATCACGCTCTCTCTTTCTCTATAACTCTCTATTTCTCTAGCAATCTCTCTCTCTCTCTATCACGCTCTCTCTTTCTCTATAACTCTCTCTCTATTTCTCTAGCAATCTCTCTCTCTCTCTCTCTCTCTAT